TGGAAAGCAATGCTTAGAATTCACTTTATTCAAAGGTGCAGTTTATAATGAACAGACTTTTTTGCTTTTGTCTTGAATTTATTTAGACTATAATTGAGGACACACAATCAGAATCAGAAATATTTGCTCCAAACACAAGATTGGCAATTTATTATTTAGATTTTGTCCGATCTGTGTTGCAATTTTATAAGGGAAATAATGTGAGGCTGGTAAAAGCATGAGCTCTCTATGCTAGACCTGAACCAAATCTCATAGCATCATTATATATGACTCATTGTGCTTAACACAAAATCACCACTTATACAGGTGGGTGATATGATAAAAAAACATCATATTATGATATTTAAAGACATTTTCACATATAAAAACTTAAAAACAACCATTAAAAAAAAATTTATTGCATGTAATTGTAAAATATCATCACATCGCCCACCTCTAGCCTTTTTCTTTCCATGTAACACTTTAATTATGTCAGTTAAAACGGATTTTTAATGCGTGTCCCACACATTGCATCTCTCTTTGAAATGAATCATGCAGCTGTTATGCTGAGAAAGGCATACTGATTATCATGATAACAAAATTTATCATGATAATTGTAAAGCGCCATATTGCCCACCTCTAGCCTTTTACTTCCCATGTAATACTTAATAAAAGAAAGTAATGCAAATGTGATCTTCGTTCATCAAACCCACATAGTGTGAGCTTCGGGTAAAAAATATTTAATAACCTAATAAGAACTGGCCAAAAATCAGCCGATTTGGCTGTAAATATTTAATGACCGGTGCGTCCCAAATTAGAATATACATATAAAACTGAGAAAAGTGTAACATGTTAGTACTTTAAGACATTTTCACGATACACAATGTGCCACTATACATATTTTATCTGATATTTGATCAGTTGGAAAAGACAAAATAGTGCCACATTTAAAAAAATAATTCAAAAACTGTCTCTATAATGATTTGTATTCAACATTTCAGACACTGAGCTGCACTAAATCCAGTCAAACAGGACTAATGAGGTTCTCCTTGTAGTTAAACATGCAGTTGGGTAGCGTTTTTAAGTACTGATGTCTCCAAGTCACTCAGAGAAGCATATTGTGATGTAATATCATCAATAAATACTGTCATATTTCCCAGCCATATATATAACCATCACCAAAAGTGAATAAAATAAAAGACCATATTTTGAGTTAAATGTCTGTTTTCAATATTAACACTATCCTCAACAAAAGTAAATAAACTGACTGCAGTTACTGCTGAGGTTTCATTTCAACCTTGTTCATGTCACATTTTTAAAAAAGATGGTTCTTCAAGGGTTCTTTAGTAAAGGCAGTGGTTCTATTCAGAACCATGAGTTCTATATAGAACCATTTGCATGCTTCAAAGGCTCTTTGCATGGTGAAATGATTCTTCAGATTGAAGGAGAGTGTGTTGTATATAGTGTGTTCTATACAGAACCTTTTTGTAAGTAGGTTCTAAAACAAGACAAGCCTGGCACTGTAACAAAAGCAGAACCCCTTCCAGTGCTATATAGAACCATACAACACATTCTCCATCAATCTGAAGAACCATTTCACCATGCAAAGATCTATTTAAGAATGACATGGTCCTAAATGGAGCTCACAGTCATTGTTTTGACTACAGAACCACATTTTTAAGTGTGTGCTTTTGGCAATAACTATGTTATTAGTATATTATACTAGTATTAGTAGTATATCAGTATATTCGTGTGGAAATGATGTACATATTTGAACACAGCCAATTCAGCTGCTGTTTGCCTGTCAGTGTGTTCCACTACAGGCAGAGGGAGCTACTGTGAATAAAGCCGCTGCATGTTCAGCTCTCAGTGCGGAACTCAGAGAGCCTGGAGCAGACAGTGACTTATAGAGCAGCAAAAAGGAGCAAAAACAGAAAAAAAGCTAACAAAACAGCTAAACAAAGCTCATTAACCATAACTTCTCCAAGATATGGGGGCTTTTCAGGTCACCAGCGGACCAAAGTCAACTAGAAAAGCTCTATAACTTCATTTTGGGAATATTTCAGGTATAGTTTACCAAGACAGACTAATGTTTTGAGGTTGAAAATGGCGTTTTATTCTAATTCTCCGTTCCACCTTAAATGGTGCCGCAGCGCCTGTACTGTGCAGCGGAGTCGTTTTGTTCTGTACGGGCGCAAGAATGTAACTGAGGCACCGTTTAAGGTGGACCGGGAAATTCGAACGACTCAGGCTGATGTTAGTCGTTTTCTGGATATATTATCCTACTTACAACAACGTTCACAGTTCCTGGTGGTTATACGCGACAGTTTTGGCCCAGTTTAGATGATAAAAAGCCCTAGAAACCTTACCTTTACCGAAGGATAAGAACATGACCACCAGCGCAGCACATTCCTCTCCAAACTCTCTGACAAACTGGAGAGAGGCAGAGATGAAAAAACTCTCCTGACTCAAACTCCTCCCTCATCACTCCGCCCTCAAAACACCAGTCAGACTCGGGTTAGACAAAACCAGTCTAATCAATATTATGACAATTTTATGAAAGGGGAATTCCACAGATTTTTCAAAATTTAGTTAACAGACTCATTCAGAGTGGTTATAGACATGGTGGTGATAGGAACCAGGGGTCACCATGTCTACAACACAAATATAGCCATTTTATTTACTATCCAAATCCACCAGTGAACCTACACGAGTCTTCTGAGTTTTATATGTATTGTGTTGAATAGTAAAATAGTGGAAAATCTGGAAAAAAGAAGTTTTCTTTGTGAACTGTTTGCCTCACAATGCCCTGCATGTATCCCTCTGCCATGAATGAATGAAAATAAATGGGTTAAAATACATTTTAGGCCAAAATCTTACTATAAAACAGTGTCTCAGTCATCAGGCAGTGAATTCATAACCATTTCATGTAGTAACTTTCTGTGAGGGAGCTTTTAGAGGTGGACGTCTGGTTCCTATCACCACCACTGTGAACAGTTCTGACTCAGTAAGTTTCTCTAGAACAGAGTGTTTCACACCAAACCACTCTGAATGACTCTGTTTATGTCTTAACCATTTAATTATGCAGATTTTTTTGAAAAATCAGTTGAGTTCCCCTTTAAGCACCTGAATTGTGATGTGGCACAAAACAACAACCTACAGACTTCCACTGTACACTGAATGAGCATTGTAATATGTCACTAATGCAGTGTAATATTCTTCAGTAGTTGTGCTTTTATTTATATCGTATGATGAGAAGATGATAAATTGATAAAAATGTATAAAATCTTAAAATTCACCAGGGACTTTTCTTCCTGCTCAGACAGAGCAACACAGCTAACCGAAGCTGGTCCATCTAGAATACCAGCTAACAAGCTGCTGAGCAAATATCAGTGTTAAAGTTTTTCAAATTAAAAGCATATTTGCATTAGTGATTTACACAAATAACTGAGGACATGATGTTGTTGGACTGTTTTATGCTCACATGCACTACAAAAAAGATCAGTGTCACTATAAGAGGCCTCCATAGTCTATAATACACTTATATAATAATATAAGTCTGTAGTTTTATATAAACATATAAAACATATAAAAACTGGACAAAACTAAGAGAAAAATGTTGGAGTATTACTGTAAGTTTAGTTTCCAGCCTCCACCCAATCTGAACATCATCACAGGAAACAGTACGTAGAGCATGGGCAGCGTCCTAAACCAAAGTGTACACTATACACACTGTGCTAATGAATATGTTATTCATCATGGTCTACTTCTTTGGCATACTATGTACTGTATGAACGTATGCATATATATATATATATATATATACACATATGACTTTCATAAGTAAGGAAAGGAAAATTGCCTTCATAATAACATTCCCTCAGGAATTTTGTGAATTATTATCCATCCATCATCTAAACCGCTTATCCTTCTGGGTCGCGGTGGGGTGCTGGAGCCTATCCCAGCTGTCATTGGGCGGAAGGCAGGATACACCCTGGACAGGTCGCCAGTCCATCGCAGTGAATTATTATTATTATTATTATTATTATTAGTAGTAGTAGTAGTAGTAGTAGTCGTAGTGGTAATAGTAGTATGGTCACGGCACTCATATCACACCCCATAAAATGGAAAATGTTTTCATTCATTATATTATTTGTATTATATTATATTATATAGTTCAAATAAATCCATATGAAATAAATATGTGGGTGCTGTTCATTCATAATCCTTCATTAACTGTTATTATCATCACCATTATTATTATTATTATCATTATTATTATTATTATTATTAGTAGTAGTAGTAGTAGTAGTAACATTACTATTATTGTCACAGCATTCACAGCACAGCACCCAGCACTCATATCACACCCCATAAAAATGGAAAATGTGTTCATTTATTATATTATATTATATTATATTATATTATATTATATTATATGATTCTGTTCAAATAGCTCCATATGAAATTAATATGTGGGTGCTGTTGACTCGTAATCACTAATTGCGCTTCCCCACAGTTCACTTTTCACCACAGGGTGGCGCACACTGTCCGAGTACCCAGCGCTCAGACGTCTGATTATGTCCTTTATTCCTGTAAAAATTCTGTCGTGGTAACGACACCGGAAACTTGATGGGGGCAAAGTTTTAGTTACAATCACCATATTCTACGATATGATTACGACTATGATTATGATTATAATTATAATGATCATAATCATCAATGGGCTATCCTTATCATCATCACCATCATCATCACCATCATTACGGCGCGCACCATCTTCATCATCACCTTCATCATCAAGATTACTCCCTCATCACTCTCAATCTACTAAACTGCAATTAAAAACTACTTCTGTTGAAGGACAGGAAGCTGTTGAAGAAAAAAAGAGAGCTTGGAAAAAAGTAAAGAAAAGAAAAAGTGACGTATTCTGTCGACATACCAGACTTTTTTGAGTGAGATCATCGGGTGACGTCAGCACAGGATTTTAAAAGGCAGCGCTCGCACTGAGAGGAGCAAACAGACGCTCAGCGCCGCAAAAACGAGCAGCTGAAAGAACCGAGTACAGCTAAAGGGATGAAAAAGACTATTTGCTTCTTCTTGCTTGTAACCCTGAACGTTTTCTCCTGCCATGGACGTAAGTTTAACCCTCCTGCATCTAATGGCTTAAAAATGTTGGAAAAAAACGAGGCTGAAGCTGCTTTCTTGTGCTAATATTCCGTTCCACCTTAAATGGTGCAGCAGCCGGAATGGAACTGCTGCACCATTTAAGGTGGAACGGAAAATTCGAAACCAACGTTAGATTTACACTGAAATTGCACTGCATTCTGCATTTTTAGGGGTCCAGGCACCTAAGCTGATAGAAAAGCTTTTCTTTAGTCAACATTTTGCTGTTTTCTTTCCTTTCATTGAAGAAAAACATGCATGATATATTTGCAGAAATAAGTCTTACTTCTGATATTATATTGCACAATATCTTTTCCTCAATATCTATTTACAATGTTCCTTATTTGATGTTATGTTGCATAATTAAGTTGTTTCCTTTGCCTCTGGTCTTTGCAGTGGACCCTTGCTGTGCCCAGCCATGCCAGAACAAAGGTATATGTGTGTCCAAAGGTGCAGACTCCTATGAGTGTGACTGCACCAGAACCGGGTACTATGGAGAAAACTGCACCACCCGTAAGTCGCCCTCCGCATCCTGTCTCCATTAACGGTCAGCAGGCCTCTCTGCAGTGAAGATTTTGACCCTAACATCTTCTTTTTGCCCTGCTTTTGTCTTCAGCTGAACTGCCCACGAGGATCAAGTCCTTCCTGAAGCCGAGTCCGAACGCGGTCCATTACTTCTTGACCCATTTCAAGTGGATCTGGAACATCATCAACAACATCTCCTTCCTGAGGGACGCCATCATGCGCTACGTTCTCACATGTACGTTAAATCATTACAGAGAACATGAACATATCGTCACTGTCATAAGAACATTAGATATCTCAGAAACAGGAACATTAGAGGACAAGAAAAAACTGGTTAATGCAGCTTAAAAGAACTTTAGGACATTTCATTTTCTGTTAATGTAGCTTAAAAGAAACGTAATACATTATTAGTTTGTAAATGTGGCTTAAAAGAACTTAAAGAAAGTTACAGCTTCAAAGAACTTTAAGAACTTTCTATTCATCTGTTAATGTAACTCAAAAGAACTTTCAGAACCTTCTATTTGTCTGTTAATGTAGCTTAAAAGAACTTTAAGGATGCTCTATTTGTCTGTTAATATAGCTTAAAAGAACTAAAAAACTTTCTATTCATCTGTTAATGTATCTTAAAAGCACTTTGAAAATGTTCTATTTGTCTGTTAATGTAGCATAAAAGAACTTTAAGAAAGTTACAGCTTCAAAGATCTTTAAGAACTTTCTATTCGTCTGTTAATGTAGCTTAAAAGAACTTTAAGAAAGTTACAGCTTCAAAGATCTTTAAGAAGTTTCTATTCGTCTGTTAATGTAGCTTAAAAGAACTTTTAGAACTTTCTATTTGTATGTTAATGTAGCTTAAAAGAACTTTAAGTGCTTTATATTCATCTGTTACTAACTAGACTTTACTAACTTTTTGTTCATCTGCTTGTAATGAAGCTAACATGTTGTTATAAAGTGTTATAAAGGTTTTGAGGGTTTATGTGTGACAGTGACAGTTTGCTCATATTATGCTCTGTTAGATTTTTTGTAATTGCTCTCGTTATCTCTTTGCAGCGAGGTCAGATTTGATCGACAGCCCGCCGACCTACAACTCTGATTACAGCTACAAAAGCTGGGAGGCGTACTCCAACCTGTCCTACTACACCCGCGCGCTGCCCCCACTGCCCACTCACTGCCCTGGTGGAACAACTGCCCTTCCAGATGCCAAGCAGGTGGTTGAGAAGGTCCTGCTGAGAAGACGGTTCATCCCGGATCCTCAGGGAACCAGTCTGATGTTCGCTTTCTTCGCCCAGCATTTCACCCACCAGTTCTTCAAATCCGACTTAAAGAAAGGAGCAGCCTTCACCAAATCTCTGGGTCATGGAGTGAGTGTCGTTTACATCTGCAGAGCGTAAAACGCTGTGTGAAAAACTGCTGTTTACATCCACAAAGCACAGCTTCACATTAGATAACACAGTGCTTTTTCAGGATGCCACTCTATCAAGTGCTGATTGAACTAATTTGATGACTCTGTCATGTTTCAGGTGGATCTGAGTCACATTTACGGTGAGACTCTGGAGAAGCAGCACAAGCTGAGACTTTTTAAAGATGGAAAGATGAAATATCAGGTATAACACTACGTACTCATCACTGCTGATGAAAGAAAACCTTGTAGCTTTATAAGAGCAGTTTAAAAGTACTGTTAGCTTTAATCTACACTCACATCATGAGATTTTGTACATTTCTGATGGCCCACTCATCATAAAATATCCGAAATTATGTTAAAAAGGGTTTAAGAAGTTTTCGAACAGTATAAAAAAGTTAGCACCGCTTAACTTTCCTTGTTAAGGGTTTATGAATGACTTACATAGTTTAGCAATGGTTACTAATTAGGTCATAAACACCTTGAAATCATCAATAATCAGATATAACTCATAAATGTAAAGGGCCAAATATTGAGCCCACTTTCATCTACACTGCACTACATCTAAACCTCAGATCTTTGTGGTTACTTATCTTATTTAAGGTGGTGCTGAACATTGAAGAGAAACTAGCTTTATATTATAATAGACATGGGCTGCACTGCATTTGTGGGGTCCACATGCTGAAGCTAATGGGAGAGTCTCGTATTTTCTTTTTCTTTTCTTTCCACAAAGCAAGATTTATCTGTAATGTGCTTCATTTTATATTTTCACAGAAATAATTTTAACCCTTGAAAATCTCAAGCATGTTACAAATTAAGGCTTATTATTCAGTAATTACAGGGAGTTCAATGCAAACTGGCTGAGCTGTTCTTAGGTTATAGAAGTGCGTAATAATCTTCGGGCTCGCTGGTGGGCGCTGGCCATTTAAGGGCTTAACACCTTCCTTTTACTTTATTACTAATTAATTTAAGATCATTTCTCTTTTTATTTATATGTTTTAACTGCATATCCCTTTTTTAAGTAAACAGCTTTTAAACCAGTCAAATTGTACTAAATGGAAAAGATGGAGTTACTGGGTGTTGATATTAAGCAGTTTTTTGGTTTGTTTTTGTTTTTTGTAAGAATCAATCATCCCAAATCAATAAATGGTCATCCTGAATGATCTTAGATTGATTATCATGGTACATTTTTCTAATATACTTAAAAAACAACCTTGATAGTTTTCATATGACAGTCTAATTGTGTAACTGAGGGGCTGTTTAAGAGTAAATCTGACCAAAGCTGCGTGTTGGGCCCTCAGGTTGTGGACGGCGAGGTGTACCCCCCGCTGGTGAAAGACGTTCAGGTGGACATGCATTACCCTCCTCATATCCCAGAGGAGCACCGCTTTGCTGTGGGTCACGAAGCGTTCGGCCTGGTTCCCGGCCTCATGATGTACGCCACACTCTGGCTGAGGGAGCACAACCGCGTCTGTGACGTGATGAAGCAGGAGCACCCAGACTGGGACGATGAGCGCATCTTCCAGACCACACGGCTCATTCTGATCGGTGAGTGAACCACCACACTGACCGCTCGTGAAGAGGCGTGATATTCTCGCGTATACAGACAGGGCTTCAGTGATACACGCTTAAACTCTCAGAATGCACTAAAAAAGTTGACTTGATTCAAATGTATATATCACATCTGCACAGTTGTGGCCAAAATTGGAAAAAAAAGGAATGATGTCAAAAATATTCAGTACATCACTGTTTTCAGTGTAGGTAAAAGCAATAGTGACAGACAGTAGATAATAGCAGAGCCCTTTTGGTGCTATTCAGAAGCATTTGTAATCCCTGGCCAGGGCCCAAAGTTTTATTACACACTTTATAACCTAAGAATAGCTCAGCCAGTTTGCATTGAGGTCCCTGTAGTTACTGAATAATAAGCCTTATTATGTAGTAAGTCTGGGATTTTAAGAGTTTAAAAGGTTTCTTTAAAGATGAACCACATTCATGCATTCAGGTTGTTCTTGAAGTGTTTGCAGTTCTTTATATACAATCATTGTCTTGACTAAAAGAACGTGGAAGAACCATTTTTAAAGGTGTAATATTTCCGGTGCTATTTATTCCTTCATTTATTTACGTAATTTTTGCTCAATTTAAGTAAAATATTCCCTGGAATCTTCAGAAAGAGGAATGATTCAGTTATCAGAATTGATTGAGCTGAGGAAAGAATGCTAATTTACGATGTAGCTGAGTAAATTTGACTAAATGAAACAATAAAATAACAATATTAAGATAATTAAAGGACAGCTGAAGGAACAGTTCCACCAAAAAGCACTTTTATCCGGTTTTCCATTTCCACATTCGGAGTCCAAATTTTGCTTCTACAGTTTAGAACTGGAGCTGTTAGGCTAATGTTGCTAACAAACACTAGAAGTCAATAGTCACCCAAATAGCCCGTTCTGTCCTGAGCCACATTATCAAGTCTGTGCGGCCTTAATGAAGACCTAGATGTGGTTTAATCAGATGAATAATGTTCTCTTTCTTGCCCCTCCAGGTGAAACGATCAAAATCGTGATTGAGGATTACGTCCAGCACCTGAGTGGCTACCACTTCAAGCTGAAGTTTGACCCAGAGCTCCTCTTTAACCAGAAGTTTCAGTATCAGAACCGAATCGCCGCCGAGTTCAACACACTGTACCACTGGCACCCGCTGATGCCCGACACCTTTCACATCCAGCATCAGGACTACTCTTACCCTCAGTTCCTGTTCAACAACTCCATAGTGACAGAGCACGGCATCAACAACCTGGTCGACTCCTTCACCAAGCAGACGGCCGGCAGGGTGGGTACCTCCTCTCATCTGTTGCCGCTAGAGAAATGAAAATGTTCTGTTTTGATTGATGTTCTAATTGGATTTCATCTAATTTTCCTTCAGATATCTGGTGGGTGGAACCTGCCTCCTGCAGTGCAGGGCATGGCTGCTAAAGTGCTAGAGCAAAGCAGACAGATGCGCTACCAGTCCTTAAATGCTTACAGGAAACGGTTCAATTTGAGACCGTACACGTCCTTCGAAGACCTGACAGGTGAGCCTTAGCCATGGCTTTGGTGCTTAACCCCTGGAATCCTAGGCTTATTCAGTTATTAGACTTAAGACGAGTCTCATTCTGTACAACAAATTATTCAGGAATGACAATGAAGTCATGAGAGTTTAAGGGATTTATAGATTACTAGAAGAAAACGTGCATAAAAATGATGTGAACAGCATGACAGTAAGCAAAATAAGTGGAATAATATGAAAAATACAGCAAAAATTCAGTCATTCAGTCATTTTATTCAGTAATACAGAGTAGAATGAGCATTTCATTGCTGTCCAGAAAGAACTTGTATCTCCAAAGTGGTAACTTTACTGGAGAATGCAAAAATTGTTGTATTTTTTTAACATAATTTAATGTAAAGAAGTGATTTTGGAGCATTTCTATTGGTCAATTTGCCATGAAATTACAGGACTTATGTCTTTTTCACAGCAATGATATATAGACTCAAAATATAATTGCACTAAATATCAGCATATTTTCAGTTATTAAGTTAAAAAAAACACTTTAGCTACTTTTTAAAAGTCAACAAGCTGCGTAAATCTTAATCTGGATGTTTGCTATTTCTTCTAGGTGATAAAGTTCTTGCAGCTGAGATGGAGAAGCTGTATGGAGACATAGAGTCCGTGGAGCTCTACTCTGGGCTGCTGGTGGAAAAGCCCAGGCCCAACGCCGTGTTTGGAGAGACCATGGTGGAGATGGGTGCCCCCTTTTCCCTCAAAGGCCTGATGGGAAATCCCATCTGCTCTCCTGAGTACTGGATGCCCAGCACTTTCGGCGGCAAAGTGGGATTCGACATCGTCAACAGCGCCTCCCTGCAGAAGCTGGTGTGCCTCAACGTTAACGGACCCTGCCCTGTGGCGTCCTTCAAAGTGCTTGATGTAAATTTCCCCGTCTTCGCGAATGTTAACTCCAGTTCTGAGCCCTCCGCACACAGCACAGTCAATCCCACTGTGTTGCTGAAAGAAAGGGCTTCTGAGCTCTAAAAGCAACGAGTTGCACCACTTCAAGATTTTCAACAGACAGTTTTGGTCTCATTTTAATACGATTATTGATCTAAATGTGTGTTTTTTTAAGATTATTTATGAGATTATTTATTTGTGTATCAATTAATTTATTTATTTATTTATTAAGATGGGACTTATGATTTGTTCTGTGTTGATAACTTATGAATATAGGTTCTGTTTTGTAATTGTTTGTCATTTTTATGTGCTGCTCTGATATTTTTTTAGACAGTGTATCTGTTTAAAACCTCTCAAATCGCAATCCAGTTACATTCCGAATAAAATATTTGCTTTTTCATAAAAATAACTTTTATGGCAATTATTCTGTACAGTACATCAGTTGAGCCTAAAACTTTTTAGGCCTTTTAGCCCAGTGTTTCTCTCCAAAGGGCCACCTTTTTAGTGGCAACAACAAATCGCAGCTGTCAGAAACAAAACTGCGTATCTTCAAAATGGTAACTTTACAGGAGAAGGAAAAAACCTACTTTACTTTTAATGTAAGTCAATGGAACCAGAATTTTTTCCAAGTAATTTTGGGTTGTTTATTTTGGTCCATTCATCATCAAATTTATACACAATGTAAAGAGCAACAGGCATTTTCAAATTATGTCAAAAACTGAAAAACAACAAAAACAGATAAAAGATTTTGTTTGGATAGCAACAAAATAATGTGTAGAGCAGCCTAAAGCCATTCACAAGTATAAATCTCAATTCCAGAAGTTGAGAGAGTATGTAAAATGCAAATAACAGAAAACCATGAGTAGCAAATACACTTTGACCTACATTTAACCCCTACAATGGCCAGGTCCCACTAGCTGGCTCAAAGTTTTATTACACACTTCTATAACCTAAGAATATCTCAGCCAGTTTGCACTGAAGTCCCTGTAGTTACTGAATAATAAGCCTTAGTATTTAATAAGCCTGGGATTTTAAGGGGTTAAACATAAAAACAGTACAAGAGAAGATATTCAGTGCAAGATATTCAGATATTCAATTAATATTAAGTGTATTCAAGCCACGCCCCCCAACCATAGATCATGGTTTACTTGTAATAACTCACTCGGGTCACATTGACCCTTTCAATTCAAATCACACGAAATGAGCCATAAATATTATTTTAAAACTATATTTTCTTTTTTTTTCGATGATGTTTATAAGAGAAAACCTGAATAAAAGAAAATTGTGTATATGTGTGTGCATGAATGTGTGTGGACCAGGTTTATGCCACACTGTGGGGACCAAAACTGCTCATACACTCACACTGTGGGGACCTTTCTTCCTTAGTGGGGATCACAAGCCAGGAATGTGGTGAAATGTTCGAAAAACATCTGAAATGGGGGATGCAATCATGCTTAGGTATAAATTGAGCATCCAGGAAAGGCTTAGAACTTAAGGAGCAAGGATGGCTCAAGACTCACCACTTTGCCGAAAGACAAGTGTGTCAGTGATTGTAAGGATTTTAAGTATTCAGTGCATTGTGGGGCCTCTATAGTACATCAGCTTGAGGAACCCGGAGAAGCCTAAAAAAGCCAATGCATAAACCCACAAATGAAACCTCATCACTGTGTTAAACCCACGCTGATGCACACTGGAAATGTGTATTGGGGTCTGATGAGTCGGCCTTTGAGACTGTTCATGGAAATAATGTTGCGATTTCTGGGCCAAAAGCCATCCCAGACTGTTACCAGCGTAAAAGGTCAACAGTCAGGGTCTGTCATGGTGGCGGGGGGGAGTTGGAGGCGTCTGATGATTGTGGAAAATCTGTGAAAGCACCATTAACGCTAATATAAATATTTATATACATATGGGAGCATCATGCACTGCCTTTTATACAAGGTCTTTTCAGTGACGTCCATGTTTATTTCTGCATGACAACAGCAAATGAAATTCTGCACGTTACATCAGCACGGCTGCGTAATCAGAGAGTGTGGGGGCAAAATGGGTCTCCCATTCAAAACATTAACCTTTTCCACTCCTTGGGACCACCGGTCGTTCCAAAACGCACTTTGCCATATTCTTCATAACTTTCATATTTCATAAGCTACATTCAAAAGGTGGGGGTCATATGAGGCTGTAACTGTCTTCTTTACAGTCAAATAGATGGGTGATGTAATTTTAAACCCTTATAATAAAAGAAGCTGAACTTATTCTACTGAAAGTCGACCCATTTTTCCACAAATCTGGGAAAATCTAACTATAAACAGATGGCGTCTCTTCAGTGATCTGCTCTGTAAACATTATTTTTATAAAATAATACAAACAGCGTCTGAGATTTTTGGCTTTCAGCAGTAAATTGTAAGCTTATAGCAATATGTGTGATCATAGAACACGTTCTGTTAATTTGAGGGGAGCTTTTACTAAATAAATAAATAAGTAATTAAATAAAATAAAAATTTACATTTATTTCATGCAGTTACTGAATAATCTGCCTTACGATTTGGTCATTTAAATTCAGATGGACAAACCAAAATATACCGTGGTCAATAAGAACATTATGAAGTGCCCCCATGAAAGGCCCCATACGGCTGCATAAATTAAAAACTAAATGCAAGTGAATATTGTGTGATCTTGATATTCTTTCTGGACGTTCCCGTTCCTTTGTCCAGTTGCTATGATTGCTGCTGTTGTTGGGCTGTTTTTCCCCAACAACACACTTTTGGGACACTGTTTTTATATGGCGGAGAAAAATCCACACAGTCCACCAGCAGTTGTTTGAGTGGAAAATATAATCAGTTGCACTTCCAATACCAATAATTCAGTGAGCTCTTCGAAACGACCAATGTTTGTAAAGGCAGGCTGCATGACTAGGTGCTTGATTTTGTACACCTGTGGCAATGGGACTGAATGAAACTCAACTTCATTGACTTAGCCAGAGCAGAACAATGCAACCATTGAATGAAAAGAAAGAACTTATTTAATGATTTATTTATTTGTTTATTTTTTTTCATTTATTTATCTGTCCATCTCCTTTTTTCACAGCACTTTATGTACTAATCAAGGTCTTTACACAATGATGATGCTTTCGAAAACCTGCTTTCTTGCTCTCTCACTTTGATATCCTGTTGCAACAGAGCCTTGTGGCTTTGTGGTATAAACAATGAGAAACCGCACCAAATTACAGTCACAAAAGTTACAAAAAACCTCCAGAAACAATGCACCACAAGGAAAAACAGGTGGTTTTATTGTCTACATCCTACGCCTGCTGGAAATAGCCACGCTGTCACAGTCCCAACAGATTTGTGGACTGTGGCTACAGTGGCTTACACAGCATCACACACATTATTGTTAAACTGGTTTCAGAGTCTGTTTTTCATGTGGTTGCACAGCGTTACACTCAGTGAAGACTGCTGTACTGAAGGAGGCCAGTATACATGGCCAAATTATTAGAAACATCTATAGGAAATCCCTTCTTCCTGCATGTGTAGCAGACATTATCAAGGCAGGGAAGGTAGATCAGGACAGTTCAGACAGCCACAGCGCACACAGGGATAATGAGCTCTGTGTAGTGCATTCCTGAACACTGAACACAAGAGACATGGAGCACGATTAGTGCACTCTCTCCCTCTCTCTCTCTCTCTCTCTCTTTGTCTCTCTCTCTCTCTCTTTTCCTCTCTCCCTCTCTCTCCTTTCTCTTTCTCTTTTTCTCTCTCTCTTTTCCTCTGTCTCTCTCCCTCTCTCTTTTTTTGTTTCTCTCTCTCTCTCTCTCTCTCTCTCTCTCTCATGCATGCGCGGGTGTGAGCGGTAGAGTGAGCGGAGCGCGGTGAGCGTGAGTGCGAGTGGTTGGCGTTTTGCCAAACTTCTTTTCTCTGTTGTTGTGTCGTTGTCCGTCTGTATCTGTAGTTTGTTTGAGTGAGTTTGTGTGTGAGTGTGTGTGTGTGTGTGAGTGAGGTGTGGTGGGGTGTGCGGGGCGTCTGTTACCGGCGTTTTGCTGGGAGCATGGCGTCCCAAAGCCCCAGGCTGTATGAAAGCCTGTCTCGCTGGCATGGAGTGAAGGTGGAGTGCCGCGCGAGTGTGGAGGAGTGCTGTTTGGCGGCGGGGAGCGTCGTCGGGTACAATAATGTTGTGTCTGCTTCGCGCATGAACAGTGCTGTGGTGATGTTCCTGTCCACTGTGGACAAAGCCAACGAGCTGGTGCAGAGTGGACTCGTGATTAGTGATCAGTTCGTGTCTGTTCTGCCCCTCAGTACTCCCTCCAAAAAGATCATTCTGTCCAACGTCCCCCCGTTTATCTCTGACGAGCTGGTCGCTCAGGAGCTGTCCCGGTTTGGAAAACTTGTCTCCCCCATTAAAAAGATCCCCCTCGGCTGTAAATCGCCCCTGGTGAAGCACCTGGTGTCGTTCAGGAGGTTGGTGTTCATGGTGCTGAGAGATGGTGAGGACGAGCTGGAACTGGTGTTGAAGTTCAGAGTGGAGGGGTTTGAGTACACGGTGTTTGTGTCGTCTGACACCAACATGAAGTGCTTCAGGTGCGGCCAGACCGGACATCTCGTCCGAGCCTGCCCTGAAAAACTCAGCGCTAACGCTAATGATGCCGGGAGCGCGGCTGAGCCCGCGGTGGCCGTCCCCCCTGCGGCTGCTGCTCGGCTGCGGCTGCTGCGCGGGACCCGGCGGCTGCGGCGCCTGCGGGGGAAGAGCCGGCTGCGGCCGTGCCAGCCTCGGAAATGTCTGCTGGGGTTGCGCCGACCGCAGACGAGCCTTTCCCGGCGGCGCTAACCGCGGAGGAGCCCGCTGTGGACGAGCCTGGTGGTGAGGAGCAGGAGCGGGGGATTCCTGACCCGGGGGAGCAAGATAACCAGGTAAGGGACAGCGGGACTGAGGTCAGTCTAGCTGGTACAGCAGTGGAGGCTGCAGTGGAGGTGGAAATGGAAGAGGAGACTGTTTTTAAAGTTCCTAATAAAAGAAAGAAGCGGAACCGAGGGAAGGGCACTAAACAGGCCAAAACAGACAGCAGTGCGGTGAATGAGGTGGAGTCTGAGAGCGAAGGCTCTCTGTCTGACTCGGGCTGGTCGGTGTGTTCGCAGGAAGAGAACATGGCTGTGCTCTATACTGTTGATGATATAAGAAAGTTCTTGCGGGTCACCAAAGGCCAAAAGGGCGTCCGTGTTGAAGAGCATTTCCCAAACAGTTCACAGTTCATTCATGACGTCAGGCATTTTAGGAGGGAAGGGTCCTTCACCGCTTTAGAAGTCGACAGGCTGAAGAAGATCCTGACCAGACTTAATAAAGTGAGCACTGAGGATGAGGTCTGACACTTTCTGCCCTCCCTGGTTCAGAATGGCCTCTGTTTTCAGTGTGT